GTTGCCTAGAATGATTTTGCTATTCTCTCTCTCTTCTGGTCCCAAATGAATTTTTGGATTGTTTTCTCTAGTTCAGTGAAATATACTATTGGGATTTCAATCAGGATTGCATTAAATCTGTATAGCAGTTTTGGAAGTATGGCCATTTTCACTATATTGGTTCTTCCTACCCAGGAACAAGGCATGTCTTTTCATTTTCTTATATCCTTTTTTTATCTCTTTTTTCAGAGTGTTGTAGTTCTCAAATGTAGAGATCCTTTGCTTCCTTTGTTAGACTGATTCCTAGATATTTCATTTTTTTGGATGCTATTGTGAAAGGAATTGTTTCCCTAATTTCATTCTCAGTGATTTTGTTATTTGTATACAAGAAGACTATTGATTTTTGGGTGTTGACCTTGTATCCAGCTACGCTACTGAATCTGTCAGTAAAGTCTAGACGTCTTTTGGTGGAATTTTTTGGGCCTTCTATGTTCAGTATCATATCATCAGCAAACAGTGACAGTTTAACTTCTTTGTTTTTGGTACTGGGGATCGAACTCGGGTCCTTGCACTTGCGAGGCAGGCCACTGAACCGCTGAGCTAAATCCCCGGCCCGACTGTTTAACTTCTTTCATTTAAATGAATACAAAGCTGAATTGTAACAGATCGGTCTCATATGAAGGCCTGTTTTTGCCCTTGTTTGACTGAAAACATCATATTTCAGGTAATAGGACTGTCTTCAAATGAATAGTCACCACTCTGGGACTTGAAGGCGCAAATTGTCCTTTGGGGCTGCTTCCTAATTGTCTGATTGAGTGTGGATGAAAGCATGCAGTCACTTTAGGGAGGAAAACAGTTTCCTGTTTACCGCCCCTAAGGTCACAGCTGATGAGAATTTAACTTGCCAGCTTTCTTTGACTTCATCTAGAAGCACATTCGTGTTCCTGACACAAATAAGTTTACGAGAAGAATTTCTTGAGGAGGGTGGCCAGTCTTATTGTTGTAGGGAACAACACTAACTCACATTTGACTTTTACTAGACCATTTATGACCAAGCGCATTATCTTGTCTTTTAGCCCAGCCACTGTGCAGTGGTGAACTGGCTTCTTTTCACGCCCACTGCAAATTACTTTTCTTAAGAGCAAATTGCCTGTCTAAGAGCAAATTATTACTCAATTGTAGTAGAAAATAACCCCTTGTGGCAATTGAGACCCCTCAGAAAAGAATTAGGAGATCTTATCCATACAAGTGTGAGGAGGCTACTGAGAGCTGAATTTGGGTCTTGCTGGAGAAAATGGAATAGAGTAACTCAAGAGCCATATGAAGGAGGAAGACAGAATTTAATAGTTTGCATTTGCATAAGCCTCATTTCTGAACGTGCTTTCAGTCGATTTGCTTTCTCACTATCAGTGAGGTCAGTAAATGTAAGTATTATTATATTCCTGTTTTACAGGGAAAAAAACTGAGATGCCAAGAAATGAAGAAATTTCTAGAAATCCTAGCAGCTCACATGATAAACATGGGGAGTGTCCTTCATTGCTTTGAATATGGGCAATGAAGCAAAAGAAATCAAAGATAACTCCCTAAGTGCAGAATCTGAGAGTCGGGGGAATTTAATAGTCTAATGACAAAATTAGAAATGTCAGAGGGCAAATTTTAGGAAAGAAAATGAGGGGATGGATTTTAAGGATGTTTGGTTTGAGCTGGTAGTTATGTCATAGCTGACCCTGTTCATGAAGCAGCTAAAGAAAAATGAATGAAGGTACAACTTCCAGCTGAGAAAACAAAGGAAATATATTTTCCTATAAATATATATGGGGATAAATATGGGAAGTTGAATCCAAGGGAATAAAGATCACCATGGAGAAGAGAGAGATTTAGAGTGCCCCTGATTAACCCTTAGGACATGTTAATATTTAGTATTTACGAACCAGAAAAGACTGGTTTAAGTAAAAAAAAAAAAAAAATTTATATATATGATGCAAGGGATTTTATCCGGCAGCAAAGAGGAGAAGGCGAAGAAAGGAGAGGTTGGAGCAATGAGAAGGGTTCTAGACACGATGCAGAAAAAGACAAAAAAAAACTTGACAGTGAGATCATCAGTAGCCTGAGAGCCAGCACCAGATTCCAGGGCGGGGAAAATGGTTTTGTGATAGGAAGGCTGTGGTTTCAGTAGATATTCAAGACAGATAAATATCAAGCCTACAAGAAACATCAAATCAAAGATTTTATTTCTGATGTGGATGTAGACGTAGAGGAAAGAAACAACGCAAGGAGCCTTGAAGATGTCTGGAGGAAGAGGAATGAAGTAACTTTGTAGCATAACTTCGTAGCTTGATTGCTGAACAGGAATGCGATTCAGTAGGCAACAGAGAAGAGTATTTCAGAGGAGGAGGCATGAGCAGACATAAATACATTGAAGGGGATGGGGAGATTAGCATCTTCCTAATGATTTAATCCCCTCAGTAGAAACCTGGGGATAAGTGTAAGATTGCGGGAGAGCAGTAAGGGATTGGATGCTGGGAAATGAATGCGTAGCATTTCAGCATATTATAAGGATTCAGCAAGGGGATTAAGGAACTCGGCCCTGACTTCCCCACAGAAACTACAGTGCGAGTCTTTGGGCCTGGGTTAACCTGAAGATGTGATGATTTTCTACACAAGCTGCAACTGCTTATGATCTGGAATAAGGGAACAGGAGATGAGGGGTTTTGAAGAGGATGAGGGAAGTTACACAGAACTGATTTGATTGGAGAGGGCTTCAGATTGATAGGAAGCCAAGTGAAGGGGCAAGGGGTGAATTAGACTAAGAGATCGTACTCCATAACCCCAGGAGTTTAGAGGTGGTACAGGACAGACCCTGGAGATGGCTGTTTTAAGGTGAGACAATGAGCACCATAGAGAAGATAGAGTGGATATTCTGAAAAATTGGATATTTTCAGTATCTGAGAGGAATCCTAGGTAGAGAAATTTAAAGCTATTAATATTGCTGGAGATGGTAAAATAGAGGAGGCAAAAAGGAAAGCACACTGACTTCATCTAAAGGCCAGGGAGGGGGCCTGCAGGCAATGTGGATGGTGAACTCCCTCTGTCCTTTGTCTGTTTGTTCTTTACGTGGGACCAGCTCTGTAGACTTGGATCCAACTGAAGGTCTTTTTCTTTGAAACTCATAGCATTGTTGAATTTTTCAATGGATACTTGATTTGGAACTGAGTCTCAATTCTTATGTTTTTATCTAGTACCATTGGCTGGCTTAGGGTCTGTTTAAGCTTTTTTATGCAGAGACAAGGAGCAATCAGTGTGTGTTTAAAATTTTTTTTAAATGCATTACAGGAAAAGATACATTACCACTAATCTCCCACAAAATGCTGTTCCTCGCTTTGAACACACTTTTCCCGTGGTTCTTACCTCTTTCTGAAGCAGTTCTGGAAGTCCTCATCTCTTTACAGAGTGTAATAATAATTAAAAAATAATAATAATACAGTGAATGCTGCTGGCTAACTCATCCAGAAGAGAAGTAGGCCGGGGAAAAGGATTAGTGTGTCCTCATCTACCTCTTTGCCTGAATCTGGCACTGTGTGATTTCCGGCTCTTTTCCAAAGTCAAAAAAAAAAGACCAGCAAAGGTAAACATTTTGAGCCAATTCAGTACACAGGGGCAGCCACCACACAACTGACACTCATGCAGGAGGGCTTCTAGAGCTGCGTCGGAAAGTGGCGAGAGCACTGCGGTGTGTCTGAGGAAAAGGGAGACTATATTTGTAGGGGGAGCAACGGCGATGCTTCTTTTACTGTATTCTCAGGCACCCCTTGTACAGGATTTTCCAGTCCTAGCTATACCTAATGTTCAGCACTGGTGATTTCCATAGGATGATGTAGTAGTAATTTTATTGGCTCACTAACCGCATTCATTCCCACGGGAACACACCAGCAGGCACTCTCACCGGTGAGTCATTCTCGGTTTGGGCAGCAGAGGCCTTGGTTGATACTGGGCTGAATTCGAAATGGGCCGGGGAGTCCAGCAGACAGCCCAGGGCTGGGGATTTAGCTCAGTGGAACCAGAGGGCAAGGTCCTGAGTTCGATCCCCACTACCAGGAGAAAAAAAGCCTGTCGCTCGCCGTGGAGTAAGGTACTCATGGCTTGCGCGAACACTTTGCTGGCCGTGGAAGGGCGGAGCTGTCTGATCCAGGTGCTGGTAATCAGAGGGCCGTAGTCTGTAGACACTAAATTTGTTCTAAACTGACTAAAAGGAGACGCGCTGTTTTTACTTTCACCATGCGGCCCACTTCTAAATGTGTGAAGAATAAAATGTTCCTCCCCAAAGAAACGTGGGCCCATTTGGGCCCCGAGGATGGGCTCCGGAATGCCGGGTTTTACTGACCTGGTTCACAGGTCAGCCTCACCTTGGCAGCTTCCTTAGCTGTCCGGTGGCAGCCGCTGTCCCCCGCGTGGGTGTTAATTGTAAGGACTCGGCTGCATGTGCTCATTTGAGGAGTAAGTTCCAAGGGCCTGACGTCCTCTGCGCTTGTTCGGGCTCAGCGGCGTCTCCAGCCTACGCGACATTCCGTATGTCAGCGTTAGAACCCAAGACTCAAGCAAGAGGGCCGGGTGGTCCTAAGGAGGCGGGAACAGGGAAAGCACCTCACAGCGGGTGTCCTGCTCCGAACCTGGTGGAGTCCACTCACTCACAGGTCGGTGTTCTTCCCTCCCTCGCCTCCTCCCTCCTTCCTTCTGCACCCCATGTTTCTCTTTTCTCCTCTTTTCATCCTGCCTTCTTGCCTTTCCTTCCTTATTCTATTTTCTTTCTGTATGGTATTTTTTATTTTTCTTGCGTTTTTCTGAAGCATGAGAAAATCATAATGGATTTTTCTTTAAAGCAAAACATTTATTGGTAAATATGAGATGCGCATGATAATATTCATCATAGGGAATTTGTACCTGCACGTGACGCATCCACTTCCTTTTTTCCCCCCATTCCACTCCCTTGACCCCTCTTCCCCTCCCAACATATAAAAGCCTTGTTTCCATTTTTTCCTTCCCTTTCTTTTTTTAATGTCATTATTGTTTTGTGTCCTTTGGCAGTCATTACTAAAAATAATGTTGGGTTGCAGAGAAGACAGATGTTACACAAAGGGTGCACTCCAGATGTTAAACGTCTTCAGTGCCATATTGCTGTGGTTGTTTCAGAGCTGAACAGGATCTAACATTTAGCCTCTAGGACATGTAGAAACAAGAGGCTGGATATACACACACTGCATAAACACAACCACATGAGCAACTACAGTGTGTGCCGAGTGCGGCCAGAGAGAGCGATAAAACACAGGAAATGTCTGAAATAACACAGGAAAATGAGGAGTGATTTCTAATCTGTAGGTGGGGATCTGGAAATTTTTCCAGAAAGTACTACTGTGGGATGAAGGCGTCTGTCTAAGGGTGATTCACACGGAGGTTGCAGAGTGCAAATGACGGTGTGCACACAGGAGTCTGTGAGGAAAACGGGGGCAGCGCTTGGCTCCCACCCCTTTGCGCTCTGCGACTCTGTGAGGAAACTGTTTTAAAGATGTACTTGTCTGAGCTGGGCGTGGTGGTGCACACCTGCAATCACAGCACTCTGGAAGGCTGATGCAGGAATAAGACAAATTTGACCCTAGCTTGGACAATTGAGTAATTTAGCAAGACCCTGAAGAAAAACCACACAAATAATACAAGATTTTTAGTCCTCCCATCTGACTGTTGTTCTGGATGTGCTTTGGGACAATTTTCAGCTTATCTAAGAACCAACAAGGATTACCGCTGATATTCCAGGGTCGTCCATAGAATAGTTCTAGAATGAAAGCCACCTTTCCCGCGAGGAAGAAGCAACACAGGACCAGCAGAAAATGCAGAAGAGAAGACCCAGGCTCGCCTCACACACAAGTCATTGCTTGTAGTACTGCTTTTCGAGAAAGTGTGACCTGTAATTCATGAGGCAGAGAGACATGATCACAAGCAGGCAAGCAGTAGTTTATTTTAATTACATTGCAAGTTTTCACTGGCCAGAATGCCAACGTGAAGAGCTTCCCTATGGACACAGGTGCCAAAATAGAGAACACTTACATACATTTGAATTTCAAATAAAAGATGAGTCACTTCTCTGTGCAAGTCCGTGAAGTACAGTTTTGTTTTGTTTCTCCAAAGGACTCATTTTTTTTCTGACTCAAATTTCTGTGTGTGCTGAATCTGGAAAGCAAGCTTCATTACTTTTTAAGACTAAAGAAATAATTCAGTGCACGGTAATGAAAACAGGGAATAATTTCTATTTGGACGGTAATGAAAACAGGGAATAATTTCTATTTGGAGGTATTAAAATGATGAACAATGCCTTTATCAAAGCTAACTATTGAACAGCTGACCCACGGAAACATGGAAAAGTCGGCCTGGCTGTACGAATTGTGTGTTCGGCTCCCACAAAGGCTTGCTGGAAACACAAGGAAGGCTGGAATCCAATCATTTTTTTCTGCCACCTACTTACAGAGGATGTTCCTGTCTGAAGAGACCCTAACCAATCATTGTGTTAGCTTGTCCAAGGGTGTTGTGAGACACTGAAGCATCAGCACCCGAGAGCTGACTCAAAATGCGGAGCCCTGGGCCTCCTCCAAACCTCCCAGACCAGACTCTTCCCAGGACCGAGTGCTGGTGACTTTCATGCAGTGTCAAGTTTAAGGAATGCAGGTTTAGCCCTTTGGTTCCAGACACATTTTAAGAAAGGATAGGCTTCCGATACAACAGAGATCCCTGTGAGCAGAGATACCTCTATCCTGATTAAAGAAGAGGTGCCCTGAGTGATTCTCCAGCTCAGGTTTTATTAGGAAAAACAAAACAAAACAAAAAACCGGAAAGGTCTGCGGCTTTAAAATTGATTCAAAGAAAGTCTAAAAACCATCGGAAATCAAGTTCATATCATTTTCCAGATGAGGAAGCTGAGTAGCAAAGACCCGTGACTGCCAGAGTCTTATGCGGCGGGGAGAGGGGGGTCCACCCATCACTTTCTAGTCCTCCATTGAGGAAAACAACACACAGTGATGGAAATTGTACGTCACCTACCTGACAAAGGCCTCCCTGAACCATAGCTGACTTTTGCCTTGGACTTGAATTTCAAAATCAGCACTGTTTCCTTTTGCACTCATGCCTGTAACTTCCTTTCAAAAGCTCATCCGACCCGACACAAAAGCACGATCTGTTTGTGTTCTGCAGTGGAAGAGGTTTCCAGCTGCAGCCTTGTGTACACTGTAAACCGAGGGAACCCTACAGGTTTGTTGGTGGATATTCCAGCTAATTATCTTGCCACAGACCATTGAGACAGATCTAGATGACTGTTCAATTAATAGTACTAAAGGAGCAATTAGGGAGAATTCCTGCCGCACTGCCCACCCCAATGCCGACATCTCTGTGAACATTTTCTTCCGAATGTGATTAATCACAGAAATAATTCTCAGAAATGAAATTAAAGATCACCCACGCATTATGCCCAATAATGTTTTAGGGCATTACATCCTGAAGCTCTGTAATGAATTAACACTATGGTCTGCTTTGAATTCTGCAATTTTCAGCACACATCCTACTCAGTTAGCGAGCGACCCTGTGGCCTCCGTCAGTTTCTGTACCAATTCACATTAGGCATTCAAAAAGGACACAGATTTGGAAATGTCAAAGCCTCAAGAACCAAGTTCAATATATTCCCTTCCCTAAAATAGCAGATTATATAAATTAGCAAGGTTGTGGCAAGGCCAGAACAATGTTCCTAGGTCCTTAAGTCCGTCCTTTCCTGGTCCACTGGGTGGTTCACATTATAGCACCCACTTTAAGGACTTTTTCCTGTAATAACTACACATTTATTATGCAAAAGTCTCAGTTGCTTATTTTCATCTATACAGCTATCTGATCAGCTGCAGAGACACAGAAGCAATTTCAGTTAGAACTGATTTATACAAATTACCCTTAAAGCTAAGAATTATAAAAATTAACAGAGTGAGGAAGAAGGAGCAATGATTAAAAGAAATACAACATAGAGGGTTTGTTGTTTCTATTTTTAGTTATGATCTTTCCCCTCATTTTAAAGTTGTCTTAGGCAAGCAAGAATTACGATCCTAGCGTTTTAGAGGACAAGTGTTTGATCCTTTCTACTAAAGAAACAAAGCCCCAGAAGAACCAAATAACTTACTCACAATCACATAACTGTTTTGTGATATGTGATGACATTTCCTGCTTCCTTGTGAAAATATTCTGTAAAGAAAACAGTATTTTGCTGAAGATATTACAATTTGGCACTTTCAGAGATGAGACGGGGTCATCAAAGAATCATAAGGCCAAACTTTTACCACTCCAATTGCGTGACATTTGTTAGATTTCATTACAGGCTGAGCATGTTTTATATAAAATACTTGGGATCACTGCTGGGGATTTAGCTCAGTGGTTCTGCTGCCAGCCTCATGAGCGCAAGGTCCTAAGTTTGATCCCCAGTACCAAAACAAGAAAATACTTGGGATTAGAAGTGTTCCTAATTTTTTATAGTATATGAATTTTAGAGGTATCTACAGGTAGGACTGATGTCAAATGCAAAATTCAGTTGTTTTGTATGTACCTTATTCTACATGTAGCATGGCAGAGATTATTTTTTAAATAATTTTATTCATGAAACAAAGTTATACGGCATGGAATTTTCTATTTGTAGCATCAGATCAATGCTCAGTTTCAGGTTTTGAAATATTTCAGATTTCAGATTTTCAGAGTAAGGATATTCAACCCATGTCAGTTTTAAGATGTGGTGTTACTAGGGACCTCACCTTTCTTTTAATTTAGTAAAATACTGTTAGAAGTAAATGTCAGCTTTCAGTTTTGCCTGAATTAAAAAAAGCACTCTGGAATAATTTTGTGGTTGCATTACACCTATCATGTTTGGCTCTCCTTTGGTCATGGAGGTGTAGCATGGTGTACAAAGGTATTTAGTCAAATTAGAGAGGAGAGGTCCGGGTGTTTTAAATTTTGTTGCATTATTTATTTCTAAAATGAGTGACCAGAAAAAGAAAAATTCTCTTTAAGGGTATGTAAATACTTCTGAAAATAAGTTGGGTTGAGGAATCACTGCCCAACTTTTTAATGTGATCTCATGGACCTCTATAAGATCACAGAGTACATGGTAAACATTACCAACAATCCTGCAGTCTTTTTACCTACGATAAAATCACTAACTTCGTAATTCTGACTGATCAACAATATACCAAACATGATGATAACGTTCTATTTTGAGACTGAAATAAAAAATAAAACCATGTTCACAAATACTGGGGTAGGCATTAAGCATTGATTTTAAAGGAGTAATTTCTATAGTAGGCAGAGTTACCTTTGGAAGTAGATGGATTTTACTTTAGTCTTGCCATTTTCAGTATCACGTGTTTGTGCAAAACGTCGATTATTAAAGTACAGATATTGAATGACATCCTGTATGTGAGTCACCTATAGAAAACCAAAAAAAAAAAAAGTTAAGAGCTCGATAAAATGTAAATTTCACCAGCACACTTGTCACTCGCGATCGTTTCTAAGGCAGACTCACCCACAGCAGTCTTTAAGGGCTGTGCTCGGAAATGTGTGTGGTTCCTGGGGTGACACCTGCTAACTCCAGTGACCGCTGTGTGGTCCTGGGGAAGGGGTAAGTTTGAAGCCGAGGCCTAGTGATGCTGCTGGCCTCAAAGAGACCAGCTGTGAAGTTGGAGAAAGCAGAATGTGGATGTAGACCGGGAATGCAGCACGGTGGGCCTTTCTCCTCCAAACTGAGGTAACCATGACTTAGTCATAGCACCCGTCTGTCTCCCTAGAGATGCTTATGTGTGTCCCTTGACTATGGCATCAGTCGTAAGTGACACATTGTTCTGCTGGGCCACCGCTCCTTAGTTTTAATCTCTTACACGGTAAGGATCGGTCTGTGTCACCTACCTCACAAGGCTCAGTGAGCTACTAAATGTAAAGCATTCTAACCACCCAATGTTACAGAGGTAGCAGCGCACACATGATATTGTTAGTAGGCAGAATGCAACTACTTCGACTGGTATTTTTCCAAAATGGACGGCAAACACTCATTCCGGCTCAATGTGAAAAATTTCCTCCATGGCCATTAATCACTGACATCGGCGTGTCATTGGCAAATCTAGCAAGATACCAAATGCCAGTCTGTGTACACCGATACTTAACCTTTTTTTTGCATTAAAATGCTTTAGGTAGAAATAAGCTTCCTTCACTATTTATCGCCTTACTTACCCCGAAGTTGCAGGTACTTTGATAAATGGAGTAATCGTTTCTAGTCACTGTGATGGTGAAATGTATTTCCAGGGTCTTCTGCCGCTGTAACTTCATAATTCATTTCAGCACTTCTGTTTGTAAATCATGGGAGGTGTGTTTGGTAGATCCAGGACTGGGGAGGTTTGTTCTCTTTCTGTCAATACAAATAAGCACTATCTTAGAACTAGTGTCTGCTATGCAGTGAACTTCATAGGCTCAAGATGGTCCACATCTTTGGATGATGGACTCTTGTTTTCACAGTATGACACAGATTAAGATATTAAGTGATAGTGTGCTTAGCTTGTCTGCTAGGGAGTCTAGCATCTACCTGAAAGCACATTTCTAGGAACTGCACAATTGAGTGGCCTTACAGTTTTGAATGAATGAATGAACAAAATGAAGTGATAGCACCTTCAAGGTCGAGAGACGAGAAAGTGTCAGTGCCTATCCTGAAAGCTTTGTTTTTTAATTACAATGTGTTTGACTACTTGCATTTGAGTGCTTTTTAGCCCTAAGTGTGCAAAAGGCATGGAGCCATGCTCTCAGGTCTCTGGGGGTAGGTGTGGCGAAAAGACTGTCTCCTGCCACTGTGACACAGATACATAGTACCACGGGGAGGACACAAGCACACGGCTTGAAGGGCTTCAAGAAGGGAACATTTATTAATTCCAACTGTGGTGGTAAAAAGAGATCATTTAGTGTGTTACTGAAGTTAGCTCAGAAGTTAATTTAGAGTAGTTGGCAACTGTATTTTTCTGATGAGAGGCTCTCACCCTGATGCTCATTATTTTTGCATTTTTACTTTTAGAGGCGCCCGAGCAGATGGCCTGCAATGAAGTTTCGAAGAGGTTCTGGACACCCTGCCTATGCTGAAGTTGAACCGGTTGGAGAAAAAGAAGGTTTTATTGTATCAGAGCAGTGCTAAAATTTCTAGGACAGAGAGCACCAGTACTGGCTTACAGGTGTTAAGACTAAAATTTTGCCTATATCTTTCACACACACACACACACACACACACACACACGCACAGAGCCCCCAAGCTGCTGTAGCCTGAAGAAGACAAGATTTCTGGACAAGCCCAGCCCAAGAAAGAAGGGTAAAGGAAAAACTAAAACTTATGTCAGATGCCATTTAGCCGGAACATCAAAATCCCTAGCGGAATGGTGTCTGTGGTTCACTCAGAACATCTCCTGTGGACTTACCAGAAGTGTGACAACATTGCAGTGCTTTTTGGCTTAGGTGCAGGGTTGAAAAGGGATCGAGAAAAAATATAATAATAAAGCTTTAGTTCACAAGGGATCTACAACTCTGGTTCAAATGTTCTTATCTGATGTCTCAAAGATATCTATGTTCCCACGCCAGAATCCTTCTACTCAAAAGAGCAGGCATGACTGTTTCCTGTGTCCCGAGAACCGTAGCTCACATGGAGGCAAAACCAAACACGAACTGAGAAATTGTCTATCTTATCCAAAGAGATGTGTGGCAAAAGGATTTTGTTTTTCTGCTCTAGATGCACCTATCCCGACAAGTTCATACTTAATGGGACAGATCTTTCATCTGCACAGGAAGTTCGAACTGTGCCCGCCTCTCCCTTTGCTATGAGTGGGGACAACATTTCCTAACTTTTACCTAAGGATTGGGAAGGAAGGGTCAGTAAATGAGGCTCTTCCATTCCCCGGCCTCAGAATGAAGCCTGTGTGTGGGTTTAAGAAGCCTTGCTTCTATTTCCCACCTGGGAAGTCCCAGGAAGCCGCAGCTGCTCTTGGCTGATGGAAACAAAAGGAGATGATACAAAGAAACCCTTGATCACTTTTTCTGAGTCAAAATGATAAGGGATTTTAAACATACGGGGTTTTTCAATGTCTTGCCATTTCAACACGAAAAGCCCATTTCTTTGTCAGTTCCTGCACATCCCTGGTGATAAGAGTGAAAGAACCATGCTGAGTCATACAGTAATTTTCTTTAAAGCACATAGTAGTTACGTAAATCTCTCTATATATAAATATATTTTTGTTTATGACTAACACAAGGCAGGCTCTTGTGATTCTAAGAGTGCATTTTGTTGTCGAGACAAAACAAATGCAAGAAAGATGCATCGCTGCATTACTTCCACAGAGTTGTAAAATAATCCTTAATATTAGAATATTTTTATGTCACATGGCACAAATGGTTCAGTTCATTGCCCGTCACTTTCCTGCCTGTTGGATCCACTCCTCACTCTCGTCAACCCCTTCCCTCCCTGCCTACAGTCCCTTAGATGGAGCTGCCATTTGCCTTGCAGTCACAATCCAGATTTGGGAAAGGCCCCCCCGTTAGTGAAGAAAGGAAAGGCCTTGTTTGAGGAGGAAAGGAGTTAATATGTGTACTGAGCTAACATTTCGATTCTGGGACTATGTGTACAATTTCATCAACAACTTGGCCCAGGGTACTTTTCCGTTCTGTGCCACACTGGCTCTCATAAGGTACGGGGTTCAACATTTGCAGATTCAGGTCTGAAAACACAGTCACGTCTCCAAAGTAGCCCTTTACTAACCACTGGCTTGGCGTCCGCCCACACGGTCTGCATCGGACGGCGGTGATCCGCCAACAGCGCCACACTCGCCCATCGTGGTCGTCTCAAAAAGACAACACCTGTTTTCTGTCGATATATTTTGTTTTACATCTTCATGCATCTGATGAGAGTGGTAACTTTCCTACACTGCTTAGTTAATAATGGCAAAAAGAAAATTGAAAAGCAACGTGATCTTAGGATGTGACGACAATCTCCCTGCCACAGCTACATGCAGTTTCTATGAAGTATTCCAACTTATTCTTTGGAGTAGGTTTGGTAAGAGCAATAACCAAATGACTGCCAATGTTCCTGGTGCAACTGGTATTCTGAGCACATGTGAGGAACATACGGACGACTTCCTCTTGGGATAAGAGGCTGCTGCTTTCCTAAGCTTCTGTGGTTAGATGTGCCTGCCAACAGCAGTTAAGGGCAGTCATATAAATGTCTTGCATCTATGTCTGACTCCTTTCATATTTCAAGTAGTAATGTTATCTTTACACCCTTCAGAGCTTATCTTTCATGTTAAATTGGAAAGAACTGATAATTCTGCTCAATAAATAAAATTCGGAATTGTTCAGTGAACCAAAGCACCGATTAACAGGAAGAATGAGAAGTGAAAAGGCTCAAGTGTGTGGGGAAACTTTCTAGGAGAACTAAAAGCTAAAGGCAGCAGGAAGTCTCTTGCTGTATTTGAGTCCTCAAGTGGCAAGGGAAATAGTGGCTCAGTCCCTTTCGCTCCTGAGACTGTCACTCTGTTCTTCATGCTATTTTGTCATTCTCGTTTGTTCTTGGTGCTCATTCGCTACAAAGGAAGGATAAACATGGTTTCTGGAAATTTTATAATGGATAGCATAGCTATGAATGCACACATTACTCATCATGCTATGAACATAGAGAAGTAACAATTTAAAATAACAACAAAGGGACACAGAGCAAACTTTGGGAGAAATCAAGTCAATGGTGCTGTATAGGAATATAGTTGTCATCCTCATTTGTACAAGTAAAAATGATTAAAGTTACTCAAAATCAAGAAAAGTATCAGAAGCTAGATGACATTTATCATAAAATTTGTTTGTGATGAAGGCTTCGGACCTCGGGAATATACTAACAAATAGAAAAATAAATAGTAAAGTACCATCGACCACAGTTATTACTTTGGTTGGAGATACCCAGGACAGGTCTCCTCCTCTCACGTGTATTTTCTAGAGCTGTGTCATCCAATATTGCACTCATTGGCCACATCTACCTAGTATTATTGAAATTACTTTAAATGAAATACTATTTACTATTCAGTCTTTCAGTCATACTAGCCACATTTCAAGTAACCAGTGCCTACCACGTTGGTTGAACAACACAAGACTCTTCTGTCAATGCAAACAATTCCTTTGGAATGTACTATGAAGACGTTTCCTTTAATTCTTTGTCCTAGAGGAAAAAGTATGAGTAAGAGGAGAGAGAGAAAATTCGGTAGCTCTTACACATGTCCAAGCATTTGTTTGTCTGAGGCACTACCTATAGTGTAATGAAAAGAATATGAGCCGACACGGTTTTGTATCTCCACTATGTTAGCTTGGAAAAAATCACTGCAGCCTCCCTGAGTCTCAATTTGCAATTTTGGAAAATAAAAATATTTTTGTCCCATTTTCCTCGCAAGATTACTGTGCAGACTGATCAAATGTATAGTTGGACAGTCTTTTGAGACCTCACGTGAATGTAATCACATAAGCTCATCGGTTGGCCCAGCCCAGTGCACCTTTGCGATCAAAAGAAGAATCTTCCATAGAGCAAACAAGCAAAGACAGCTCAATACATTTCTTCTGAAAGTGTCAAAGAAGAGTTCATTCAGACAAAGACACAGGAGAATTGCTTTGCTTCCTTTTTGCCTGTCTACATAGTTCTTCTAATATTACACCAGAAGTAAAATATCCCTAGTGTCTGCACTGCCTATAAAACAAGTTTTGCTAACATTCATGCCTTGTTTTAAGACATTTTAGTTCTATGGGAAGAAATTACAAAGACTATCTGAAAAAATAGATCCCATGGCTATGTTTTCTTTGTCCTGTGAAAGATTCTTTTGCTTTGTATTTCTTCAAGAATTTTCCTCTGGAAGAACATCACAGTGCAGTCCCTAATTCCAGAAGAGTTCTCTTGCTTTCACTTTGCTCTTATCTCTCTCAGTTTTATCATAGCATTTAGATACCATAACCATAAGAAGGCATTCCACCCAACCTGTGCATTCCACAGATAAAACCAAGGCTTGAAGACAGATAGTAGTTCCCTGGTCATTTTTATCTCAGCTTTTATTGCCTACATCATTTCACCAGCCATTAAGACCAGCCAACACAGTCCATCTCGGAGCTAACTCTGTTTGTTCTGTGGATCATCTGCTCTGTCTGTTCCAGGGAACTGTCGTATTGCACTCTGAAGAACACTGCTAGCCCTACAACCACCAGTAAATTTAAGTTCTAGCTCTTGGCAAACCTTTACTTGCTGTTCCACATTCCCTCTCTTACCTCCCCATCTCTAGCCATCCGAGTTTGCACCACTGTTTATCTTTGCCATTTAAAACGTACCCTTGTCTCATTTCTTCTTAAATGTGCTGGAAAAGTAATTTGCTCATGTAATCACAGTTTTGCTTAGTTCTTCAACCACTGGGACATTAGTGCCCTAAGAAGTTCTTGAGATCAGTTATTGGGAGGTCAGTGGTATCACGGTATAGTGACATGACCTTGTGTTTGTAAAGCACTTTACATTTTACAGAGCACTTTGATATGTCCTCTTGTCTAGTCATTCAGTGACTCACTACACGTAACTATTCACCAAGCACCTGCTAGCGCCGAGTTACTGGGCTGCATCTTGTATTCGGTGACAGTTACAAATAGCAAGAGTTTAGATGTGTAAACTGATCATTACAGCACAGTGAAGTTTGTCCAACACAAACTCACAAGTACAAAGGAGCTGTATTACTCTAAATATCCTACTTTACTTAGAAAACTCAGTTTTCCTGAAGAATGTTTAGGAAAGATCTTAAGCCCCAGCTCTTTGCTCTATTTCACATGATCTGCTGATTTCAAGTATAAGAGGGGAAAAAAATGTTACTTGAAGGTACTCCTGATGCAGAAAACTTTCCGGTTCACTTGCATTCTTTCTAAGCAGATGCAGTAGCCAAGGTCTGACTCTCCTGCACCAGTATTTGTTCTGTGGCTTTTGCATTATAAGCCTCATTGCTTCCCTCAGAAGCACCAATGTTATCATCACAGAAGCATTTGCACTTTAGGTGTGTGTGGTTACCACTTCACTGCTCAGACCATCTCTCAGGTTTTCTCAGACTCAGTACTGTTGACGCTGTAGGCCTGATAATTCTTGGTTTGGTGTGGGGGAAGAAGCTCTCTAAATTGTAGAGTATTTGGTAGCTTTGATGGCTTTCATTGGCTGGACAATAGCACACATAGTCACTCCTGTTATGACGGCTGAAGATGTTTTCAGATGCTGTCAGTGTCCCTCGAATTGAAAGGATAGGAGAGGTTGACCAAACCTAGCCCTGGTTAAAACCACTATACCAAAAAGAACCAAAAGACTTTTTCATTGTGTTGTCATTTAATCTTCGTTATAGGTAGGTTTTGATAATATAACTTGGAATCATAAACTCTTGGAGTTATTAGGAGAGACTGCAAAAGCCACACACAAAACCACAGCCCCAAATCATCCCTATCTATTTGTCTATTTCTCCATCCTCCACATTTATTGAGAGGGAGGTGGAAGACTGATTATCTCTAGAAACTTAGGAATTGGCTTCTGCATAGCTAGGGATGAGGCCCCTCGGTAATTGTGCTTTGCTACTGCGATCACCAAGGCAGTGGCTTCCACACTCAGTGCAGGAATGGGATGCTGAAGTCACACGGCTTCTGCATCTCACATCTGCTTTGATGAGTTACTTTTATCATCACACACATTACACAAATTTTGCTCCTTAATCTTTGCCTCGGTGTGCATGGAAGTTGAAGTTAATTTTAAGTCTACCTGGATGCTGTATTTCTATTTTTAATTCTGGAACATTTTCTTATTTCCATCATCAGAATATTCTCCTTTATTATCCAGTCAGCTATGGGCCTAAAGCGGGGATGGATAGATAGATAGATAGATATCTAAAACATTGTTTTTCTGGGGGAAAAAAAAACCTTGACTATCCCAAGTAATTGAAAATTGTAATGCAGAGTTGGAATACATAAAATCTACCAAGACGAAGTTCATTCTTATTTGGTATATCTTAGGTCAGTCTTCTTGTAGGGCTGGTGACTTCGTACGGACAGCTCTGAACCCAGTCAGTTTGTACCTGTGTCTGTTTTTGCACTGATCAAAAAACTTGAAGTTCATCAAAGACAACCCTTTAAAAATATCCCAAAATTAACAACAAACTCCCAGCTGGACTATCAGGCCTCCGTTTGTTCCTTTGCTAAGACCAGCTGAGACTTAAAATGCATTCATAATTATTTACAACAAATTTACTAATCTGGCCACAAATTTAAAACATTAATTACAAGGTCTATGACTATGGCATATTAAAAAGTATATGCAAGGAAAGTTCTTGTAAGACACTCATGAAGTTAGAAAATTTCAATTTAGGAGATGTGTGCATAATTTTCTACTCTACCACTATTATAGCTAACCTACTTGGTATTGTTTCTTAAGGTTTTAAGTAAGCTGATCCTCTGGGATTCAAATTTAGAATGGATCTGCCAGTTACAGCCTGGCATAACTTTTGTACCATCCAGTGCTCATGGCTCTTAAAATGGTTACCCATCACTTCTCTTAAAATGGTTGCAATAAAGCAAAATGGTAACTATTGAAGTAAAAGCACATAATTTCTTGAATTGATCTTCCATTGTAAGTCAATAGAACATATTATCATTGGCTTCTTGATAATACATTTTTGTGGATGACCAAAGAATGTCCAGAAGAGTAAACTTCTCAAAACTTATTGTTTTATATTAATTTCTAGTTCATTCTCCACAATGAAAGAGTCTATGTTTCTAGCCAGTATAAAAGGATGGACAATATTAAATGCAAACCACAAGCTGATACGCATCTCTAATTTATAATTTTACTAATGTTTAAGAATTATTCAAGTTTTTTTTCTCCTGATAGAATAAAGTTTAAAAAGTAAGATGTCAGATACTGATATTATATTCATTTTTATTCTAGTTGAAAAATCTCAATGACTTCTATCTATCCCTCTGAGATTTGGGTTTTTAACAGCAGTCTCCTTTTTCCCTGGCATCAAATATGCTTTAATTCGTGACTTTACTGAAGTGTCCTAAGTGATTGGCAGCTATAAACATTTTGTACCTATCAAATAAATACATAGCAGGAACTAATTTTAGAATTTTGCTATATTGAGGGTGGTATAAACATCATGGTGGATGAACAAAGATGATTTGTTGAAAAAATAAAGTACTAACTACTATCAGGCAGAGTTTTCAACTTCTTCAGACTATTCAGTAAGGGATCAGCTCAGATTTACATGGTTTGAACATGAAAACACTAGAGCACAGTTTCTGCAAGTGATGCTAAGAGACACACAGTATGGGATGTGTCAAATTAGTCTAGAACACAGCCACTGTGCCTCTTCTATGGCACCAGTCCGGACACCACTGAGGTCTACTCTAGGGAACTGGGTTACTTGTTATTTCCAAAAAGAAACTTCCCACTTATTTACCTCTAACTTAAAAAAGGCATTATATTCTTTGGTTTTCTTTAATCACAGACCACGAGCCAACCAACCACACAAAGGCAACAAAATGAAATGAGATTAATTTTCCCCAGCAACCAATGAGAAAGGGCACTTTCTTCCGTGAGCCCAGAGCTGTATCTCTGTGAAGTTTGATGATCTCAGGATTGAACCACAGTGCCACTGTCTAGGCATCGCAGTGATGTCTACACAACCATTTGTAAAGTGGTTTGAAAAATACATGCTCAGATTGTCATATTTATAGCAAGGGGAAAAAATCAAATGTCTTCCACACTCCTCTGAAAATAACATTGAGAGAAATCAGAGCTTTTCCTTGCAAGAAAATGTTAAAATCATTTTAGAGAAATCAATTGTCTTCAGACACGGAGATCTCATGTAACTCAGTCTTTCTTGGGCCCTCTTCTAGAAGTGGCAGGAGTCTTTTCACTGGTCGGTCAAAACAAATCTCTCATTTGCCTCATTTGGACAGCGCCTGGGAAGTACATTATTTCCAAGGGGAAAAAAAGTATTTTTCACATGCCAGCTGGGATCATGGGAACCTCAAATGCCAGGAATTTACTACTGTTTCTGGGCATTCTGCTCGCGGTCATTTGAAATGTTGAAAGTTGAAAACGGAAGACGTCGGACCCTCAGGGTGGGGGTGGAGAATCGGGTGCCGTCCATGTTTTCTGCCAGTTGCACCAGGGCACAGAATATTCGTAATGCATTTGGAAGTGCATACAATTGCACTCTTTGTCAGAATTACAAAGCTCCCTGTGGTGCCGCTCAAAGAGAACACTGAGGAAAAGCTGACCCTATACACCGGGTCAAGCCCAAACAAAAAGATTGTGTGGTGGAGCACTGCACATTGCCAGTCCATGACACACTATTTCTGAAAGCTCTGTGCGTCCAACCAAGGATGTGTCTGTCTTTCAGGTGCAGGCTAATTTTGCAAAAGTTTTTCCAAAACTTCATGAATGCAGGGCTTGCAAAACTGAGCAATCTGAATTTCTTCCAGTCTTCTCTTCCTGTTCTCTCTGCCGTGTCAGTGAGATATTCCAAGGCTGCCTTCTGTCATCTCCAGGAACACACACATACTTTACGGTCACCTCACATTGGATGAACCTGTAAAAATGATTGTGTCTTGAGTGTGTGCCGAAGGTGTGCAAGAGCAAAACCAGTCTGCCCTCCATTGGAATCTTTTGCTCAAATTCAGCAGTTCAGATGCCTACTTCTGTAGGCTTTCTGACTGTTTTCACTGAAAGTCTGCTGATCTGAGTTTGAATGTATTCCTTACAGTTCATTATTTGGTTGCTTATCTTTCAACCGGGAATCATTATGATTGTAATAATTCATTAATGTTTTCTTCACACAGCTTCTTAAGCCAATCTTTCTGCAGTGATTCAGGTTCTGCATTCATTGTGTGGGAAATCTTTCCTTTTTCCCCGCTAATTATTTGAGGAGAAATCCAGTGTTTGACTGTCACCCATACACAATATGTGTCTTAAGGTCTGAAAGCTGGTGGTGACCAAATGTTACCTATGTTCTTGCTGTTGATGGCTATCTACAAAATTAAATCATGTTTTTTCACTTTCAGTTGGAGTCAATGAATTTGAGATACTTGAAGGGGGAGAAGGGAGCTGTGTGACAGTGCAGTCATATTTGGCTACGTACTACACATAATAAATGCGCATTTTGTTTTAATTTCTTAAATACTTTTACCCTTGGCTTTCAACATGTTTTTGTTTCCTTTCCCTCATTAATCTCTAAACACATTTTTACCACTGTGGAATAAACCTAGCGTGCAAAGCCCAGAGCCACTAGGCTACTGACACACTGGAAAATGTTTTTGTTTCTAAATCTGCTATGGCCTGGGGACCGAAGCCAACTAGAGTGAACTGTAGAAAACAGAGGATGCAAGGTGGCCTAACACGCAACTAGGTGGAGACCATTCCCTGTCCTCATCCACAGAGCCCAGGTGTTGAATTCTGCCATCAGACACGTGGGATTTTAGCTGCCATGTTCAGTCCTAGAGCTTAAAGAAGTCAAAGGGCTTCAGTTCTGCTCTTGCCTGTCACTAGTTCTGCTTTAAGAACTCCTCTTATTTTCCAAATGAGTCCCTCAAGCTTCTCTGTTATTTCACCCCCTTTTGCTCAACCTGGAAATGATTATATACTATTCCTCAGGAGCTGTTGGGTGTGTGTCTCGGGTAACTTATGTGGAATGTGTGAGGTGAGATATTTCGATTTTAGATATCCCTTCTCTGTTTCCTCTTCCACCATTCCAGGACTTTGCTCCTAACACCACCAACTACAAACAGATCTGAACCCAGGACCAAGAAGCACACGCAGTGCCTGAAGGCAGTGCCATTTCCTGAGCAACTGCTCTGTTAAATTCGATGATGATTTTTTTTTTTTAAATCTTAACGTCTGTATGGATATTTTGGTCTGTATTGCTTAAATTTTGATGTCATGAAGTAAATTCAAAACTCCAATTTTAAATGGTGGGAATTGTCTTCATGACGCCAAAATAGGAAAGGTTATTAAAGTCAATCATGCAACTTTCTCCAGTAACAGAAAAACATTAAGCCAATGCTTTAAACAATCACTTAGTGTATTCCATTTCTTTACATAATGCAGATGAAATGAACCTGCATGAATCGAGATGTTAAAGAGTAGATATGTTAGTAACAATCATACAACTTTTAAGTGAGCTGTGCTCATAAATCCGAATACAGGTCTCCTCACTGGTCCTCTGTCCCCAGGCAGTTTTCAGAATCAGAGTCTTCTGACATACACCCATAACATCCCCTGGGCTTGTTGTATCAAATGTTTATTAAATGACTATTCTGAGCTAGGCAGTATGCTTGACTGCTACCAAAGAAAAAAAAGAAAAAAAGAAAAGAGAGTGAGTCAGTCTTTCTTTCTGTTTCAGTTAACCTATAAGAGCAGTGGAAAAGACCAACATTAAAGTATCTATGGTAAATCAAGCAATCTAGGTCCTCAGGAAAGAAATACTTAGCTCAGTGAAATTTTGTAGGGAAAGGCAAAGAACTCATAGAGCGAGTGGTATCTGGACTTGCCCGTGACAGAAGAGGAGGGCCTCACTAGGCACAGGCATCCAGGGGAGAGGAGGTTATAAGCAGAGAGGTTATAAGACTGAGCAGGAGTGCAAGGAAACCAGAGCTGGAGAAGAGCTGAAGCCAGATTTGGGCTCTTGATGGTGTCTACGACCTTCCAGTTTACCTTCTGAGCAGTAAGTATGTGCAAAAGCTTTGAAACAGAAGAAAGATGAAACCCAAGCTCTCACAGCAAGAACCCCCTGATAGGCAGAGGAATGGATGAATTACACGGGGGAAATCTGGGCAGCCCTTCTGGAGGGGACTGCTTGAATCAGGCCTCTGCTTCTTATCGGTGCTGGGCACTGAACCCAGGTCCTCTGCACTGAGATTCATCCCCAGCCTTCATTTATGATCTATTTTGAGACTGAGTCTTGCTCAGTTTCCCATGCTGGGTTCAAACTTTCAATCCTACACAAACTTTCAACCCCTTGCTTGTTTTCTAAAAACTCATGACGTCACAGACACCACCACCTAGAGTGGAGCTGAAGGTTAACTTTCCTCTTTAATCACAAGGAAACTGGAAAATGACTCATCATCAGT